GCTTCCCAAGTGCAGTGATTACAAGTGTTCACCGCAATTGCCAAGTACTTTATATGAATTTCTAAATATCTAGACGTGTCTCAAAAATGTTACCATTTCTCGTGTGGACAACTAGACAGATTCCCCACTGATCTTCCTGCTATTGGCCCCTCTCTACTGTATTGCCAGTTTTCTACCGAACTAGCAAATTTCACTTCGCTCTAAGACTTCTGTGAAACCTCTGTTCTTTATAGGGTGAGAACCGACCCTTTAGTATTACTCTTCATTCTGACTCTACAGTCTTCGCACCATTTGTTTCGCTTCTTATCTCAAGTCAATGTTCCTGGATTAGTCGTGTCTTATTATATCTCCCTATTGTTGTATATATATTCACTGTCTTCTCCACCTGCCATTCTCTAAGCTTTTGTTCACCCATTGTCCTATTTTTTTTTAAAGATTTATTTATTATGTATACAGGGTTCTTCCTGCACATATCCCTGCAGGCCAGAAGAGGGCACCAGATCTCATTACAGATGGTTGTGAGCCACCATGTGGTTGCTGGGAATTGAACTCAGAACCTCTGGAAGAACAATCAGTGCTCTTAACCTCTGAGCCATCTCTCCAGCCCTGTCCTATTTTTTTTTAATGTTTTTTTTGAGACTGGGTTTCTCCATGTAACCTTGGCAGTCCTGAAACTCACTCTGTAGACCAGGCCGACCTTGAGGAGAGATAAGCCTGCCTCTGTCTCCCAAGGCACGGGCAGGGCAGCTGCCACCACCTGGCCCCTTGTCTTAATGGAGTCTATTTTAGTTTGCTAAGCTGAAGCATGTGTTCTGGCTTAAATATAAAATGTCTCATGTATTTGCATTTGAGCACTTGGTTCCTAGCTGGTGGTACTGCATTGGGAGGTTATAGGACCTTTTGGTCTAGATGGCAAATATAGGGCTTCAGGGTTCTAGGCTATCTTTGTGTTAGCTCAGGCTCTCTCCTTCCTGTTCCAAGATGCAACTAGTAATATCTCAATCTCCTGCCTCAACTGGACCAGCCATACCAGCCACTGCCTTCCCTACAATAATAGATTATATATCTTATACTAGAGTCAAGATACATCTCCTCCATTAACTTGATTCTTTCAGCAACAACCAGCAATGGGGTCATTGCTGTGATAAACAGGACTACATGTTTACAACTAGTTTGTAGGAAAAATGTGGAAAAATTTAGAGCTGTGAACTAGAGAAGCCCTGGAGCTTAATGGGCCTCCCTGGTAGGAGTTCAGAAGATGAGAATACTAGAAATGCATACAGTAAAGGCCAGTCTTGGGAAGTTTCAGAGGGAAATAAGGACTACTGAAAATTGGATTAGATAATTCATGTTACATTTCAGACAAAAGGTCTGGGGTACAGTCTGCCCATGTCCTGAAAACTAGAGTGAGACTAAATGAAAAAGTAATATTCTAGAACCTGCAACATGTCTCAATGGGGAAAGACATTTGCTCCCAGTTTACTCAGGAGATCTGCTACTACCACTACTACTATTTCTATTGCCTAATCATCATCATAATAATAATAACTACAACAATTAAGAGAGTTTTGAAAACCGGGAGCAATAGAAGACGACATGTAGCATTGGCGTCTAGCCTCCACGGTCTACACTTGTGTACTTGCACACACAGTTCCCTATAGAAGTGTCTAAGTAAAAACTGATGGATGAATTTGAAGACATTTTGTTGTGTATATCAGCTTATTTCAGGGACTGTTTTAGGTAGGTAGAATGCACTAGGTGCTGCAGAGAGTCTGTAGGGTAGAGTTTTTGTTGTGCATTAACTTAAAGTCTACACTGGTAACAGAAACTCCTGAGCAGCAATTTCTGAAGGACATAAAATGAGTATTGTAATAATGTTATATCTTATTTTAAATGCACTTTTGTGTATTTATGCTAGGGACTAAAGCCAAGGCTTGGAATGTGTTGAGGACATGCCCTATATTGAGCTGTCCCCAAGATCCACTAAGTATATACAAAAAATTCTTTTTATTTTATGAGTGTTTTTCCTGTATGAATGTATTGCATCATGTGCGTTCCTGATATCCACAAAGACTAAAACAGAGCCTTGGATCCCCTGGAACTAAAGTTATAGGTGGTTGTGAGCTGCCCTGTGGGTGCTGGGAACCAAACCCAAGACCTTTGAAAGCAGTAAGTGCTTTAACCACTGACCTAACTCTCTAGCACAGGTACTTTTTTAGAAACCGAATTTTTTCTTATATTTTAGGACCAAATTTTACCTTGGTAGAAATTGAAAAAAATATTTTGCTTTAAAGTCAATTTGTAAAGGATATTTGGGCTAAGGATTTAGCTCAGTGGTTAAGTGTTATTATGCAGTGTGCTTGGCAGCCTGAGTTCCAGCACTGACTCCAAACCAAAGCAAAATACAAATCATATTTTAAAATTATGAATTATCATTTCCTATTAAATGTGCCGTATTTATTTATGTACTGTGTGCATTGACAAACAAGTGTTTTCTGGACATATTCAGTTGATGTGCTTTACCAGCTATCTGCCTACTTAGCCCCAAACAGTAAATACTTTACTTTGTGTAAAGCTTTCACATTCTAAGTGAAAATGAGTGGGGCTTTCCCCCGAACCCCGCATTTCTAAGTTAGAGTTTTAGTAGAAAGGACGTGATTTAAGAATTAAAGTTTTCCTCTGTATCTGCTACACTGGTCTGACGATGCTCTCCCACTGTGATAACACTGAGCTTCCTCCTGAAGAAGCTCTTAGTGCACTTGCAAGGAGCTTGAGGAATCGTGTCAGAGGTCAGCCATTGGAGTCCATTTTCCCACAGCTGCCTAGTGTGAGTGATCTTTTACTGTGTTTCAAAAAAAATGGGCCAGGATTAGAGAGGATTAGAAAGAATATTACCCGCCTGAATACAGGCCCAGGGCGCTGAGGAGAGAGAACCCAACCAGGCAGCAAATGGGCTTTGCCTGACCAGGACGCAACCTCTGCTGCATTCCTTTTAAGAAACTGAATGGGAAACGTTAAGTACCCAAACTGGATTAGTAAATAATCTCATAGTTTGTGACATCTGCTAAAATAAATTGATGAGCAGACTGCCTACTTACACTTTGAGGAGCCAGAGACATCAGGAGTAGGAGTAATTGAAGATGGGCAGTGATCTTAGTGCTGCATGGAGAGACGCACTTCATAAACCAAGAAATATCATTCCAGATGTATTGGTACAATGAATATGTTAGATTAATTACTAAGGCTTAAGGATTTGAAATCCTTACTTTTTTATTTCTAAGATTCTCCCGTGCTCTCGTTGGGCCTGTGCTTTGAGTGTATCTTCTGTTTTGACATCTGCGTACTCCCAGTGTAATTATCCTCATTCTGATTCTCTTTAAATATCAACTCAGATCAACATATACTTATTGTACATCTCAGCGTTACCATCCCAAGGTGTCTATTCAAGAGAAATGAAACTGATTTATACCAAAGCTTGTATATAAATATTTGTTAAAGTATATTATATTACCATTTGCTTTTGTTTCTTGCTTGCTTGCTTTTTGTTTTGTTTTGTTTTGTTTTTGAGACAGGTTCTTAGTAGGCAACCCTGGCCTTGAACTTACAGTGTAGTCAAGGATGGCCTTGAACTCTGATCCTTCTGCCTCTACCTCCTGAGTATTAGGACTACAGGTGTGCACCACCATCTTTGTTTTACGTGCTAGGTATCAAACCCAGGGCTTCATGCATACCAGGCAAGCACTCTATGTCCCCAGCCCTGAATTATTCTTTCTAAAAGCCAAAACGTGGGAAGGGCACATGTCTGACAGCTAATGACTGGATACGTAAACATGGTGTATTTATGAGGACTGTTATTTGACTCTAAAGAGAAATGGGGGTACCACTATGTGTTGTGACTTAGATGAGCCTCCAAACTGCTTAGTGAAAGAAACTAGTCACACGTTTCCACAGATATCATATATTATAACAGTATTATGATAATATGAGGTGTTCAGAATAGGCAGTTAAGGAGACAGAAAGCAGGTTAGCACTTGGCTCAGAGGAATGAGAAATGAGGAGTAGACCGAATGGTATCAGAGGGTCCAGAGTCCCTCAGGTGATGTAGTGTGTACACGCTGACTGCGGTGGTGGATGCACTTATTTTAATATAATAAAAACCACTGAATTCTCAAATAATCAAAAAATGCTATGTGAATTATATCTCAACAAAGCTTTTTTAAAAACAAGACAAAATTAGGGGCTGGAGAGATGGCTCAGAGGTTAAGAGCATTGCCTACTCTTCCAAAGGTCCTGAGTTCAATTCCCAGCAACCACATGGTGGCTCACAACCATCTGTAATGAGGTCTAGTGCCCTCTTCTGGCCTGCTGGCATACACACAGACAGAATATTGTATACATAATAAAATAAATATTTTTAAAAAACAAGACAAAATTAGTATTTCCTATTGCTTTGTAATTTTAAAGGGCCCTACCACAATCTGATTATAATTATTTACTTAAGAAATCTGTTTTTCTCATTACAATATGAAGGTTTTTTGGTGTTCCGTAGTGAGCATACTGTCTTGTACTTAGTGAATATAAATGAATTGATTTTACCCCACAGTTAAGTTTTCTACCCATTAAATAGGAATAAAAGAAAAACAGAATTGAATGATGCCACAAAGTACTTTCACTAAGTTGTATTTTATGATTTTACATTTATTTGTTTTTTTAGGGGGGGAAGTATTTGTCTCACATTATTTCCTCAATTTAACTTTCCATTTTATATTTTGCAAGGTCACATAAGCTGTTTGTCAATTTGTTCTTACCTATAGGAAAGAACTTTGGAAATTTACAAGTATAACAAGTACTTTAAGCAAGTTTCCAGTTGGAATTGCATGTTATTTTAACTAGTTTAATGTGTGTGTGCCTTTAAACCAATTTGTAACATTTACAAATGTTTGTGGATGTTTGCACTTAACACTATTTAATTTCTTGGTGTGCATGTGTTGTTTTTGCAGTACTTACTAGAGATGAAAAGTTTAATTTTACCTCCGGAACACATCCTGAAGCGAGGAGACAGTGAGGCAATTGCCTATGCTTTCTTTCATCTGCAGCACTGGAAACGGATAGAAGGTGCTCTGAACCTCTTGCAGTGTACGTGGGAAGGCAGTAAGTGTTCTTGGCCAGATGTAATGCTAATCTCTCTTAATGTTCATTGCATCCACATGCAGTCTTTTCAGATGATTGTGTGAGTTTCAGGACTTGTAGTTTCAAATGACTTCTGTGGCATTATATTTGGTAGAAGAAATAATTTGAAATATATTGAGGTCACATTTAGAAAAAGCAGATAGAGGAACTCTTAGGATATTTTGCTAAAATTGAGTATTGTAGTGAGAGAAAATGAAAATGTATGCCTTTTAGCTTACAAGATTTATTAATGTGATTAAGTTTTGTTGCTTTAGTTGTTTGGTTTGTTAGTTTCATTTAGTTTTTGTGATGAGGTAAGGAAGGTTGAAACCAAAGCCTGATTATACTAATAGCATATGTTGTATCATTGAGATGTACACCCAGCCCTGTTCTAAAACTAAAAAACAAACAAAGAGAGAGAGAGAGAGAGAGAGAGAGAGAGAGAGAGAGAGAGAGAGAGAGAGNGAGGGAGGGAGGGAGGGAGGGAGGGAGGAAGGAAGGAAAAAAGGAAGGAAGGAGGAACAAACGAACGAACGAAAAACCTGGTTTGTGAACAGGAAACATGTCTCAGTTATAGCACTTGTTGCTTTTGGAGAGAACCCGAGTTTGTTTCCCAGCATCCACATGGTGACCTCAACCTCCTGAACTCCAGTTCTAGGGGATTCGTTGCCCTCTTCTGACCTCCAGTGGCACCAGACACACAATGATGCGCATATGTACATGCAGGCAAAGCATTCATTCACATAAATTAAATAAATTTTACAATATAAAAATAAGAAATGGTCTGGTTTGTTGTTGTTGTTGTTTTGTTTTCAAATGTGTTACAGCAGCTGTTCTGGTTTTTTTTTTTCTGTCATGTGATAAACACTATGGCCAGTAGCAACTTTCATTCTATAGTTTACAATCTGTCATTGAGGGAGCCAAAGCAGAAACTCAAGGCAGAACCATAGAAAGAGGAACATTTTATTGGCTTGTTCAGCTTGCTGTATTAGATAGCACAGACCCACATGCCCAGGGGTGACGCCACCCACAGTGGGTTAGGCTCCCCTACCTCAATTAGCAATTGTGACAGTGTCCTGTGGACATGTCCATTGGCCAGTCTGGTGGAGGCAGTTCCTCAATTGGAGTTCTCTCTTCTCAGGTGATCGGTTTAGGTCAAGTTGACGGTCAGTGCAGCAGCTCTGTTCGTTCTCTCTCTCTCCCTCAGTGTCTCATGCGGTTCAGGCAGGCCTCAAGCTCCTGTGTAGCTGATGACGATCTTAAATTTCTGATTCCTGCTACCGCCTCCCAAGTGCTAGAACTGTAAGCCTGGACCACCACACCTGGCTTTAGGCTGTGAATGTGCTGAAACATTCTTTACATACAATTCACCACTGTAGCTGTCTGAATCCAGTTCAGGAGTGTTGTATGTGGTCACATTATTGAGTACCTGTCATCAACTTTCATTTCCAGAACTTTCATCTTCCCAAACTGAAATTCACATAATAATATCTTCTTTTTAAGATTTAATTTAATTTAATTTTATGTGCATTGGTGTTTTGTCTGCATTCATGTCTGTGTAAGGGTGTTAGATGCTTGGAACCTTAGTTACATACAGATGTGAGCTGCCATATGGGTGCTGGGAACGGAACCCGGGTCCTCTAGGAGAGCAGTCAGTAGTCTTAACCACTGGGCTTTCTCTAGCCCACACATAGTATTCTTCATTCTCACCTTTCAGTGTTCACAGTTCTGACTCATGAGTTTAGGTACTTTATATAGTGTAGTTACACAGTAATTATCTTTTTGGATCTTACTTATTTGGCATAATATTGACAATGTTCATCTGTGTTGTAGTATGTGTCAGTATTTTGCTATTTTTTGTCTGGGTTTTGCTTTCGTTTTTTGGTTTTGTTTTTTTCTTTTAAGACAGTCTCACTCTGACTGGCTTACCATTTACAGTGTAATTGCTCTTCCCCCTTCTTCTTTTCTTTGAGACAGGCTCTCACTGTTGCTCTGGCTGCTCTAGACCGTTATTCTTTATCTAAAATGTGTTTATTTGCATTATAACAAAGAGACTAGCTAATTTATTGCTGTACTTTTTGTCTTTTGACCCATGCATTGTCGTTCAGTGATATCTATTAACCTTAGGTGTGCTAAAATCATGAACATTGTGCAGAGAAGACACAAGTACTTTATGAAAACTGCACATATAAACCTATGGTCATAACTTAAAACTGTCTTCTAGATGTGAATTGCTAGCAAAGACCCTTCTTCCTTTCCCTCTTTACCACGCCAGTGGACAATGCTAGCTCCCAGAGGTAGACTACTGAAGGTCACTCCCAGAAGACAGTTCTACCGATTGTTCTGTTATTGTGTGTGGGGATATGTGTGTGTGTGTGTGTGTGTGTGTGTGTGTGTGTGTATGTGTGTGTTGGGTTTTTCGAGACAGGGTTTCTCTGTAGCTTTGGTGCCTGTCCTGGAACTAGCTCTTGTAGACCAGGCTGGCCTTGAACTCACAGAGATTCACCTGTCTCTGCCTCCTGAGTGCTGGTATTAAAGGTGTGCATCACCACTGCCTGTACCATTATTATATTTTTAATGGAAGCACTCAACATCTCCAGATACCACTTAAATCGTTAACTCCAGGTAGAATTCAGTTTCAGCGTAGGTCCATCTCTGTCTAGTGTCTTCATAATTCGGCAGTTTTGTTTTGTTAGCTGCGATGACTAAAAGAAACAACATGACAAATCAGTGTGGGGCAGGAAATGATGATGATGATGATGATGATGATGATGATGATGATGATCCAGTCCTAAGGTAGAAAAAGTGTGCAGTGTCCCAAAGGTTCCTAATTATAGCTCATTCGTAAGAAATGTTTTAAGATGGATATCTCCATGTTGCCATTCAGGTCAGCACTGAATTCGAACTTATGCAATCCTGCTTTGGTCTCCTGAGTAGCTGGTACTACAGGTTCAGAAACCACAGCTTGTTGAAATTAGGTTTACTTTAAATGAAGTAAGAATCAAACTTTTCAATTTATGTATATTTTCTCAAATTTCTGAGTTCTTAGAACTGTTTGGACCCACTAACTAGTAAGTCATATTTACTAAGGCCCCAAGGTAGAATACAAGCTTAGTGTGCTTGGGACCCTGCATTTAATAACCACTGCCACCACCATCATCAGTAAGACATGAGGACATCATTATCTGTGCACCAAGAGTTTGGAAATCTGTATAACCACTTATTAACAACAACCATACTGTGCTTGACAATAGAGAACTAAATCAAATTGAAATTTTGTATTGAATGCTTTTGAGTAGTTAGGCTTCTTTTAGCTGATTAGCAGGTGTTCAAAGCCAGGGACTTTCTCATTCATTTCACGTATGTGTCTATTACCTGGTATTCTGCTTGGCCCTGGAGGGGTTTTCACCAAGTGTATAATGTATGCTACATTCCATGCATCTTGATAAATGACACTGGGCAGATAATGACTTTCATGATCCCTGAAGCAGATCTGAATAGTCTTTTTCTTTAATTTATTTTATTTTATGTGTGTGGGTATTTGACTGTGTATTCTTGTAGAAGACTTTTGTGAGCCTCATCGATAGAGTACTAAGTCAGCAGAACTCTTGTAGCTTGAGAGCACAAGTATACTCAGTACTGTTTCTTGAAGATTCCTTAAGGAAGCAGGATTTACAGTAGTGAAGTTGAGGCTATGGTTGTGATGAGGAGACTGAGGCAAAGAGGCCTTAGCCAATGGTGTCTTCTAGCATTCATTCCATTTAGGCTCACACTAGACCACTCGCTCTTCTCTTAGTAAATCTTAGTCTTTCCCCCTGCGCTCATGTGCTCTTCTGCTCACTTTGTTTCATCTAAAATGTCTCTCCAGAAAAGAAGATAAAATGCTTTGTGAAAAAGTTATAAAAATACGTCTGCAGAATAGGTTTGATTTATAGCATAGATGAGTGAGATAAAATTGAATGCTAATGTATTTTTCTTTTCAGCTTTTAGAATGATTCCATACCCATTAGAGAAGGGACATCTATTTTACCCTTATCCCAGCTGCACAGAGACCGCTGATAGAGAGCTATTGCCTAGTAAGTAAATACTTCTGTTTTTTTCAACTTACAAGTAATTGCTTAGGTTATTTTTAGATCAGTTTCTGTGTTAGTCACCTTTTTGTTAGTTTCATTTGTGTGTGTGTGTGTGTGTGTGTTGGGATTGTTTTATTGTTGTTGCTTGTTTGCTTGTTTTCTTTAAGAGAGTGTCTCACTGTGTATCCCTGGCCTGGAAATCACTATGTAGACCACAGAAGCCTTGAACTCACAGAAATTCCTCTGCCTCTGAGTGCTGGGATTAAAGATGGGTATGCCATATTAGTTGCCTTTTTGTTACTGTAATGAAATGCATGATGCAGGGTTTGTGAAGAAAGATTATTAAACTTGTGTTTTAGAGGTTCAGAGTGTACAGAGCAAAGCTCAGGCTCTGAGTAGAGACTGCCCCTTGGCAGATCAGCCAGTAAAGTGCATAGCAAGGGCAGAACATGCGTGCAAATAAGCAAGTGATTCTGTCTTATCAGAAAGAGGGAAGGCAAGGAGGGAGGGAGGAAAAAAAGGAAGAAGGCAAGCTTCCTTCCCACAATCCCTTCTATTGACCCAAGGTCCTTCTACTAGACCCATCTCTTAAAGGTTCCACTTCATAATTGTGCCACCCAAGGGCCCAAATTTCTAACACATGGATTTTTGAAAGAACACACAAAAAAGGTGTTTTCTACTTTAAAATTTTTTATTATATTTTTATTTGTCTGTTGTTTGTACACATGTGTGTGCAGATGCCCACAGAAGCTAAAAAAGGATGCTAGAGTGTATACAGGAAGTTGTGAGCTACGTGGCTGCTGTGAACTCAGGCCCTCTGCAAGAGCAGCACTCATAACTGCTGGACCCATCTCTCCAGCTTCTTAGTGTGTGTGTGTGTGTGTGTGTGTGTGTGTGTGGTGTGTGTTCACATTGTTGTATGCATGTGCATGTGGAGGTCAGAGGTCAACACTGAATGTTCTGCTTGATGGTTTCCACCTTACTTTTTCAACAAGGTCTTTCACTAAATCTGGAGCTCAGATTCACCTAAGCTGCCTGGCCAGTGGGCACCACAGATCTGCCTGACTGTGACTTGCTAACTCTAGAATTACAGGCATGTGGCATTTGGGTTTTTCCGTGGGTCCTGGGGCTGTGAACTCAGGTGCTCATGCTTGCACAGCAAGAATTTTACTCAGCCACCGCACCAGCCCCACAGCTCTCGGAGAGCTTGTGTTTTTACCTCCATGTTTGTGCCTCATCCAGTTAGCTGTATACTAGAAACAAGGTCAGCTTATTTGAATGGAATTGACAGGGTCCCTGACATTTCTTTCTCAGTCTCACAAAAGAGACTAAGGAGTTTCATTTCTAGGTAACCAAAGGAGTCCTTTACAAGGTTAAGATTACAAGGGAGTACTGTGTCGTATAGGGTAGAACCAGAAGGGCACAAAATTTTCTAAGGAGCTAATGGCAAGAAAGCAAATGAAAATCTAGTGGAGGAGTAGTCAGAGACAAGAACTAGATATCCTAGTAACTAAGGAGAAGAAACGTCAGTGAGGAGTCGCCGCTGAGATACCAGGACAGGCAATTACTAAGAAGAATCTATTGACTTTGGCAATTGGGAGGTCATTAGTGAGAGAAATTGCTTTTGCCTACTTAAGGTGGGGTTAACTATTATTTTCCCTAGCTGTTATTTTTCCATTTACAAAGGAACAGATATTTTTAAGGTCGAGAAATCAATTTTTAAGTCAATCAATACACAAGTGTATACCTGGGCATGGTAGCACATGCCTATAATCTTATTTAGCCTTGGGAGACTGAGGAAGAGCGAGGTCCGTGAGTTTGAGACCAGTCTAGGCTACATATAGCAAGGCCTTGTCTCAAAAAATACAGTGAAATAACAAAAGTTTTTATTGTATTAAGATAGTACATTTATACTAAAAGAATTAGTATTTCTTTTTTAATGATTTATTTATTTTTATTTCATATGCATTGGTGTTTTGCCTGTATGTATATATGTATGAGGGCATCAGATCCCCTGAAACTGGAGTTACAGTCAGTTGTGAGCTGCCATGTGAGTGCTGGGAATTGAACCTGGGTCCTTTTGAAAGCAGTCATTGTTCTTAACTACTGAGGCATCTCCCTAGCCTACATATTAATATTTCTTATACCAGAACCAGGAGCTACAAGATCACATAGAGTTTTTTTTAAACATAGATTTTTAAAATCTTAATTTATTTTTCATGTATATGGGTGTTTGGCTGTATATATGTCTTCATGCATGTCCTATTCCTGAAGAGGCCAGAAGAGGACGTCAGATCCTCTGGAAACGGAGTTACAGATGGTTGTGAGATGCAGAGTGGGTGCTGGGAATTAAACCTGGGTCCTTTGGGAGAGTAGCCAGTGCTCTTAACCACTGAATCATCTCTTCAGTCCACAGTTAGGTTTTTTTGATGAGCCTTCATTAAGTCTTATCTCCATACAGGGTACAAAGCTCCAGGACACAGACACAGAGGGATATGCTGGAGGGTGTGTTTGATTATAGTATATGTTCTTACAGTATATTTTTCTGTTTCTGACTGGTGGAATGAACAAATTTTTAATAATGTGGAGTTCTAATACCCAGGAGTACTTAATGGTTTTTGTTTTTAATTCTCCTTCAGCCTTGATATGACTTACAGCTTTCTGGAATTTGCTTATAGACTCATAAGTGGAGAGTTGAACTATTCCCCCTAGTTCATATAGCTATTTTGTCGTCTTTTATGCCTCCTGATAAATTTTTCTTTACAAGCCAGTGATGAAATTTGAACTTTTGTTCCAAGGGAGTGTTTCTGTACTGGTCAGTCATCCATTATATTGATGTATTAGCCAAACATTGACTGACAAGTGAATCTACAGAGCAATCCGAAAAGAAATAATTAGGTCTCTCCTACAATATAAAAGTCTCATATTTTAGGAAGTTTTGTTACTAAAGCTGTGCAGTCTTTCTATTGTAAAATGAAAACAATACTACCTATCTTCAGGTTATTTCAACAATTAAATGAGAACTTTAAAAACCATAAATGCTTTAGGGTTTAGTTAATACTAATTTTATTGTGTTATCCCCCACCTCCTGAAATTCCAGAGTTTGTTTCTGTGTTTGCTGGAAGTAGTCGTCTACTCTTGGATGAGGGACTGGGCAGAAGGGCTTGCTGGTTCTCTGGTGCTGAAAGAGCAACACTGACAGCTTTTAATGCTTTTAGCATTTACCAAGTTGAGTGCTATTGTGCTTTTACATGAAGTATGGCTGGAGGCTCTGGAAATCTGGATTTTTAAGATGAATTTAGGGGTTTTTTTTATATGTACTTTCTGGGTATAGTATAAGATATATAAAATATTGTGGCTATTGAAGGCAACTTGGGTATAACCTTCTCTGTTAATAGTTATGTTTTTAAAAATTGAAATTTATAGCTGACCTTGGTTCAGCATGGAATTAGTCATTCCTTACTGCTGCAGGGTATTACATCAGGAATTCCTGGGTTGATGTCCTAGCAGTCAACTTCCTGACTAATGAAGTCTTCGCATAGCTCTCGTCTAAAAGGAATTTACTGAGCACCTACTGTGCATTGGGCACGCGGATAGGTTTCGCTCTAGATCATTTGTCATCCAAGTAGTCTGAATAATATCTAAGTACTTGAATAAAATTGATAATGAGAAATGAGACAAAAATCAGAAAAATAATACTCACATGTAGAAATGTGATAAAATAAGGCAAAGAACTTCAACTATGGCCGGAGCCTTGGCTTCTTAGTTCTGTTTCCATAGCAGTTGGTGAACTGTCACGCATGGAACATAGTAATAATTGAGTAAAATTATTAAGCAATGATTCTGGGAAATTCCCCAAGACATGTCTATCTCTTTATCTCTACACTGCTTGCTGAGCTTTCAACGAGCAAGAATTAATAACAACTCACATTTATTAAATGCTTACACTGTTCTTCGTAACAGCTCCATAGCAACTTCTGCAGGGTTTAGTGCAAGCTAATAAGTGACAGCGCTCTTTTTCAAAACCACCCAGCATGACTTTATAGTTCACGTTCTTTCCCACGATGCCCTCCTGTTCCCAGACCCCAATACAGTCACCTGACTATGCAGATATACTGAATAGCTTTCTCTTACCTTTGTTCTTGTTATTTTTTTAACCACATTTTAAAAATATTTTTTATTGAGCTCTACATTTTTCTTTGCTCACCTTCCTGCCTCTCCCCTCCCTTTCAACCTCTCCCAAGGTCCCCATGCTCCCAATTTACTCAGGAGATCTTGTCTTTTCTACTTCCCTTTAGCCACACTTTTAATTTTCAAAGCTAGGTTTAACTTAAAAATATTAAAATTGGTTTGTTCTGAAATAAAACTCACTCTTACCAATTTTCCCTTGCAGCTTTTCATCATGTTTCTGTTTATCCAAAAAAGGAGCTTCCTTTCTTCATCCACTTTACAGCAGGACTCTGTTCTTCTACAGCAATGATAGCGTTTCTCACGCACCAGTTCCCCGAAGTCATGGGTGTCTTTGCTAAAGCCGTGAGTATGATCTCAAGGACTTGTGTGGAGTATTTATAACACAGCACGGGAAAGCCTCTCTGGTCTGTCTGTGCTGACCTACACGAACCGTGAAAGATGCTTGGAAATGGCGAGAACTGCGCTTTAATGCTCCCACCATAAACGTCAACCGTGAATTCTGACCATGTGAACTACTTCTGTTACTTAAAAGTCTAAGAATAAAAAAAAAATAAAAAAAAAAGTCTAAGAATACAATGCTATAACATTACAAAGTTGGCCTTTGTAATTACTTTTGGTGGTTAAGACAGCATTCCTTACCAACTAAAGAGTAATCCAATTTTTCTTTATCTTTAGTGTGTTTTCTTTGGTATTTAAAACTACTAATTTTGAGAACAAACCTTTTGATTTTTCCATTTAAATGAAGCCACAAGTTCACAATATTTGCTAATGTTTAACTCCAGAGTAAAACTGTGGTAGAGAATAAGGATATGGAAGGCACACACAGGTGGGACCCTTGTTCTGCATGTAGAATATGCTTCTTTGCTCAAAGATTCTCCCAGTTTTTGTATCTGCATCCTTTTATTGACTTTTTCCAGTCTTAAGTATAAAACTATATGTCAGCCTTTATTTTAATTTTAGCCCTTTAATTTTGAATTCCATCCCTATTTTTTGACAGAGGACTTTGTTTGTTTGTTTGTTTGTTTGCTTGTTTTGAGGCAGGGACTCTCTGTGTAGTCCTAGCTGTTCTGGAACTCACTCTGTAGACCAGGCTGACCTCAAATTCACAGAGGTCTGCCTGCCTCTGCCTCCCCAGTGCTGGGATTACAGGCACAAGCCATCATTGTCTGGCTGATGACTGATACTAAAATGGTACCTTTTCATTCCTCTACACAGATATATTAATACCACCAAATCTTTTCTTTTAATAATTTTTATTTTAAAGGTGCACATTTCTTGGGGGTTGGCAAGATGGTTCAACAGGTAAAGTACTTGTTGCTAAGCCTAATCTAAGTAATCTAAATTCAAATTCACATAAAGGTAGGAGAGGACCAAGTCTACAAAGTTGTGCTCTGACCTTTGTACATGTAATGATACATGTGCCTCTCCCATTATATAAGCACAATAGTAATAAATTAAGCATAAGCAAATAAATAAAAATGCAAATCCCTTTTATGTCATAACATATTCACCAAATAATGGGTTAAAACACAAAAGAAAGTATTGTTTTATTGTATTCTCAAACATAAGACATGCACTGAGAGTCATAGAAGAATCAGTTTACTTGGTAGTATATTTTCTATATCTATGTGCTTCCATTATAACTACTTGTTTTTCTCATAGTTTATTTTAGCCAACAGTGGTGGCACATACCATTAATCCTAGCACTTGGAAAGCAGAGGCAGGCAGATCTTTGGGATTTTTGAGGCCAACCTGGTCTACAGAACAAGTTTCAGGATAGCTAGGGCTACACAGAGAAACCCTGTCTTGAAAAAAACAAACAAACAAACAGTTTGTTTTGTGCCATACAGATTAGTTAGCTCTTATGGCACGAATGCTATGGACACTGGCTCATTCCCCATTTTCCCTGAAGGTCAACTATATAATGTGTTAAGATGCCACTGGCTGTAAGCCTAGGAGTCTGAGTATGCATTTGAGTTTGAGGCAATCTCCAAAAGGAATGATTTCCCACTGCTGCTCTGGGAGTGTAGATGTGTGAGGTGCAGGCTGACCATTCCATTTCCTCTTAGTGCAGGAAGGAAGCTTAGTAATAGATTTTCCTGTTGATTACAGTGGTGCTGATGGGAATGCGTGCATCTCAAACTCTCATGCCTCACCGTGTGAGGAGCATGGGGAAATGGAACAGAAAGGGAATCCTATCCAATTAAAAGCTAGAAGAGAAGAAGAAGAAAAAGAAGTGGGGAGGCCTTTAATTCATGTTTTTAAAATACAGACAGTTCCTGAGTTTTTCTCAAGACAGTGGTGTAGGAGGAAGAAGACTAGTGCAGGAGAGCAGAGAGAGAGAGAGCGGAATCTAGACTAGAAATGTAGCACACCAGTGTACTTCCCTGAAGTTCCCACAATGACTGTGGAGTGGACTCTAGTCTCTGTCCATAGTGTTCATATAGTAACTGCCTTCACTGAAGAGCTCACTAGTGGCACCGGAAGAACCTTAAGGTTCCTCAGCACTTCTAGCAGAGACTTGAGAATGAAGAATTACATAGTTTAAAGTAGACTTTTCTCTTTTTATTTACCAAAAGTTACTAATATATTATTATTCTACTTGATGAACAATAAACATTTATATACTATATTTGTATAGTTGGTATATATAATATTTAAAAAATTGCTAAAAGTGAACTTTTATAGTCACATTTTATCCCTAAGGCTCTTACGTGTGTGTTTTCAATTTCTAAAGGCCACATACTTACATGGGACCTGTGCCTCAGTCTGTGGCATGCAGTTTTTCCGAAGACAGGTCCCGTGGAAAAGCCATTGGAAAATGGATGTGAATAGGCAGTCTGCCTTTGTAATATACAACGCTTAAATGCTTTGACAGCAGACATGCAGAAGAGAGCTGAGGCTCCTACTATAGTTCTTCACTGTAGCCAGCTTTCTTGGGCCACCAGCCCTCAAATCATGACACGAGTTTTATTGTTAATTATGAATGCTCGGCCTCAGCTTAGGCTGATTTCTACCTAGTTTTTGTTTTTTTCGTTAAATTAACCCATTTCTATTTATTTATATGCTGCTCTGAGGCTCATTTATTTCATCTACTGTACTGTCCATTCTGCTTCCTCCATGTCTGGCTGGCTCCTTTCCTGCCAGCTCCACCTACCCCTCCTTTGCCTAACTATTGGTTGTTCAGCTTTTTTTTTTCCCCCGAGACAGTGTTTCTCTGTAGCTTTTTGGTTCCTGTCCTGGAACTAGCTCTTGTAGACCAGGCTAGCCTCTGCCTCCCTAGTGCTGAGATTAAAGGCGTGCGCCACCACCGCCCGGAGGTTGTTCAGCTTTTTATCAGACCAATCAGGTACTTTAGGCAGGTAAGGGAAAACAGCAGCACATCTTTGCATAGTTAAACAAATAAAGTATGTTCTGTACACTAGGAACACCACCCTCCTCTAGGAGTTTGTTAAACATGCACAGCTTCAGGCTTTGCTGCAGACCTGAATGAGAGTCTGCACCTTCCTTATTCTACATGCATATTTAAAGCTTGAGAAGCCTTGTTCTACCCTGTACCCATATGAGGGATTTGGAACCCTAGGCTAGAGGGGTGCCTTACCGGAGTGGATGGAGAAGGGGTAGCATTACAGAGTGGTGATGAGCTACACTCTGGAACCAACCTGCTTTGCTCTGGACCCAGCCCTGACACTTAACTGTCTTGCAGCCTCACATAAGTTAGGCAGTCTTCTCGCTTAGCTGTGAAGTGAGAAGTAGTACTACATAGTTTGTGTTGGGGGCAAAAGAGTTTGATATATATCAAGTGTTTAGAGCTATGTTTTTCCACAGTAAGAAGTAAGTGGATACTGTTCCTCTCATTGTCCTAATTGTCACACTAAAGAGGGGCTACAGTGGAAAAACCTCTCTCTTTACATGTGGAGGATCATAATAAGCCCACAATGAGTTTTTCCACAGTAGTTGAGGTATAAGTGATAGATGGATGTAGTTTAAATAATTAAATTATGCAATTGATACATCATGTGTGCATGAACCACAAAAAGAAGAAAAATGTTTCCATTTCCTGGTACTGGCAAACTGGTTTGTAGAACAGAACGTTTTGGCATGTTGTAAACTGTGTAAGGATTTTTCAGTTGGCTCAGATCTATAATGACAATATAAAGTAGAAACTGATGAAATATTCTTTTCCTACTTCTTAATAAGGCAAAGCCACTTAAGAAAACTTATCAAATTATTATTATCTCTTCATCTTCCTACCCCATCACTGCTCCCCCCTTTTGTTGTTTTTAGAGATGGGTCTCACTCTGTTGCCAGGGTGGGTCACAAACTCCTGGGCTCAAGTGATCCCCAGACCTGTCTTCAGAGTATCCATGTGTGACCAAATACAAATATTTTGTTATTACCATTTCATCTTCTTTCTCTTGTTTCTCTTTGCTTTAGCTCACATGTTAAAGCAAATTCTATTTTAATTTCTTAAGATACATTTATTACAAAAAATATGTGTTTTTATAATGCCAGGCACTGGAGATTAATGACTTGGGGTTTTTTATTTTTTGAGGCAAGGTGTTGTGTACAGCAGGTGTTCTGGAACTCACTATGTAGTTAAGGATGACCTTGAGTTCTTAGGGCTTTGAACACGGCAAACTAGCTCTCTACAAACTGAACTACATTCCCAGCCTTAAGATTAATGATTTTTAAAATTCTCACTGTGTATCAAATTTAAAGAAATGGACGAGGATGAATGAGCTAGAATGATTACTGGTTTTAGCACCCTCTCCCCTTTTTCATGGTATAAAGCTATGTGGAATCAGACTTAGTTTTCAGCAAGTTAGGATATTTTTCTCCAGACTGAGATGAAAACCTCATCTGACATTATGCACAGAGCAATGAAAAGGTTGCATAAATCCCCGAAGATGTGGAATGTACTGATACCAGAGCTGATATTCTCCAAGGCCAGGATTCCTGAAAAAGGAAAAATTGCTTTTAAGTGGTAGGTCATTTTCTCACCTGCCTTGAAGCCTGCTGGGTTAAATATGAGGGTTCAAAGAAAGGGTAGCCAGCAAGCGGCTCTGGGAATCTGATTCTCTTATCTGAAAGGAGTGTCTTTATTTAAGAACAGCATTGCTCTCCTCAGCGAGCTAGTCTCACCCACTCTGGCCCTTTCAGTTCCAAGCTGCAGAAAGAGCTTGCTTTTTAGCCAGGCTTGGAGGCTGTTATCACAAAAGATTTAAAGATGCTCTGCGGGGATTTCACTGGCTTCCTGATGAATTCAGACTTGAAGCTGTGGCTCCAGAGCTCTGCATTAAGATATGTGTTTGAATGCCAAAGCTCCTCATTGAGTTTTAACTAAATAGGACAGTCACTGCAATGTTGTCAGAAAAGGTATTAGGGTTAAGGCAAGAAAAAAAAAAAAAGAGTACCAAATAAATTTTGATTCTGTTGAGTTTTGCAGAGTGCACACTGTAGCTGTGCTGGTGGGGGCAGACCTGTCTCCACATACTCCACTAATCTCTATGTGGGAAAATGCTGTTGGATGTACAGAGATGAATTTCAGAGCAGCTCATAATTGGCTGGCTCCACCGTGGCCAAGGCCTTACAATCTGCTTGATTAATTCTTTAAGGACTACATTAGCCAAGTTGCATGATTTCCAAAGATATAGAAGGTCAGTTCTT